GGCCAAGGAGGCGATTGAGCAGCTAGAGGGGCAGGCCCACGACCCTGCCGCTACAGGGCCCCAGGATGTGGCTGGGGCCGGGCTCAGGCAACAGAGCCCCGCTAACGAGCGAGAGCGGCGTGTGCTCTCCGCTAGAAGCTGGGCCGACCTCTCGGCCGAGGACATCGCTAACCTCGAATCTGCTATGTCAGCAAACCTAACACAGAGGTTTGCCGCTACCGAGGCAGCCGCGGAAAAGGCTCAGCTAGACCAGCTGGCCGCAGCCAATGCTGCCGCTAGCGCCGCTAAAGCCAAAGCCCGCAAGGAGGCGGAGGCCATGGCCGCTAAGATGGCAGCTCAGCGCAAGGCCGAGCACGACCAAAAGGTTGCAGCGGCCGCGCTAGAGCAAAAGAAGAAGGAAGTCGCCGAGCGGCTCGCTAGGGAGACGGAGGCCGCGGAGAAGGAGTTCCGGGAGGCCGTGGCCGCTAGCAAGGGCAGTTTGGCCGCCGCTACAGCCGCGTCGGACCAAAATCCGACCACTACTGCCAGCACTGACCCGGCGCCGGTTGCTGCCGCAGCCCCGCCGGACGCTAGCACCGTGGGACCTACACCGGCCGAGGCGGCCGCTATGAACTTCCTGCAAGCCGCTACGCAGGCGCCGGGGCGAGGGGTAACCGCCTTCCCTGCAGTCCCTGCAGCTACGGAGCGGAAGGGAAAAGGAAAAGAGGGCGCTAAGAACAGCATCAATGTGTTTGACTTCACATGGACGCTATTGTTCGACGACCCGGACCGCTAATTGGAGATGTTGCGGCGGGAGCTGCAGCCCGACAAGGCTATCACCCAGGCGGGGGGCATGCCGCTCAACATCCGCTATGCCAAGGGGACGCCGATCTCTGTGGCGCTAACGGGCCGGGCGCGCCCGCCACCACTGGCCCACGCTAACAGCTTGTCGAAGGGCAAGGGCTACTTCTATTCAGAGCTATCGTGGTCCAGTATCGATCGCGATCTCTGGCCGCTAGGTTCGTGGGACCAGCGAACCGAGAAGGGGAAGGGGAAGGGCCCCCACCCCCGCTATGGAAAAGGTGATGATGGCACGCTAGTCAAGGAGGCTATCTACCATGGTGAGCACCTTTACACGCTAACCAGGGAAGACGCAGCCTTGATGTGTCGCTATGCCCGCCCGCCCGTGGGCAACCTGGCTAGGGAGAGAGCAGATGAACTGCTCGCTATGCTCCTCCCCAGCTGCTATACACAGTACCAGCCGCGTCGCTGCACCTGGTCGCTAGGACATTGGGACTCCAATGCTGCTATTTTCCGTTGCGCTACCACTTGTGAGGTCTGTTCGCTACGCGCCTGTAACAGGCGGATGTGGTGGAAGATCGACGACCACGCTACTCACTGTTGTGATGGCTGCAAGAAGTGGTCCAAGGGCGAGGACTACGGCGGCCGCTAAAGTTAGGGCCCCGCCCCGCTACTGTACAGGTCCTACGTGCAGCTACCTTTGCAGCGCCCTCTGCTGCCGACCGCTAGCTGCGGGGAAAAACCTTCGCAGAGGGCTGCGAGTTCGGTGTGTGCATGCAGCCGTTCACGCTACACACATGTCGGCAGCCAGACAGAAGGGGAGAGCTAGAGTGAGAGTGTGTCGGGGGGGGGGGGGGGCGGGGTCGGTTGCGGGGCTAGGGCGGTCCGCCATGCAGTGCTTTTCAAGCAAATGCTATCGACTGGCACCCTCACACACTCCCGCACTATGTGCTTTTCCCTGAGTTTCTAGCAGGAACACCATTTTCCCCGCTCCTTTACGGCTATTTTTCCACTGGGGTGGCGTAGGCCCGGCCGTGCCTGCTATCATGGGAGAGGAGCTAGGCTAGCCAAGAAGCTAGCCCTCGGATCCAGCGAGCTGCGGTTCCTGCTAGTGCAGCACAAAGTCTCGGACGCTATCCAATCCGAGCTCTTTTCAAACGGTATTGATACCGTCGCTAAGTTCGCAGCCTCTGCTACGGACGAAGCGGACCTCAAGAAGATGCTACAAGACAGCTTTGCTATCGAGCCATCCACCTCGCTCGCTAGCCGTGCTCAGGCGGCGGGGGTCACCATCGCCATCGCATGGAGGACCGCTAACTCCCGCACCGAGCGGCAGGCAGAGGCGGAAGCCACCAACGAGGTTCGGGATTGGGCCAAGCCCATCCCCGCTACCGACTACATGGCCATGCGCCAGGCCTTCACCGCTAAGTTCGAGGACCTGGAAGACAAGCACACCCCCGCTAAGGAGTACATCGAGAAGATGCTAGCCGAGCTCGAGTCGGCCGAGTTCCGAGCGGAGAAGATACGGAGGTCATCAGCCGGGACGAGTGGGACCCGGACACGCTACTGCCCGTCTGGAATGGTAATGGCACGCTATCCATCAAGAAGGGTGGGGCTAGGGCCGCAATGCCCTCTGGGCCGGAGCAGCTAAGGCTGCGGCTCACGGTCCTCCAGAACGCGCTAATTATGATCCAGCTAAGGCACCCAAACCGGGAAGAGCTACAGGACATCACCATGCTTTTTCGAGCTCTACAAGGACTATCTGCTCGGGGATTACTGCTACGGACTGCGGTCCAGTGCCGATTCGGGATCGCTAGTGCCCCCTGGCACCTTGTGCTCAGCTACGAGCACGCCTACAAGGTCACGGCAACAGCGGGCTATACCTTTGGTGCTGCGCTAGTCCACGCCTACAAGGACGCTAGCGTCAAGGAGAGGCACTTCACCACTGCGCTAACCCTCCACGCTAAGCGGCCGCAGCCGTGGACCTGGACAGAGGACAGGCCCGCCAAGACGCCCAAAGGCAAGGGCAAGGGCAAGGACGCCCCCCCCAAAGGGGGCAAGGCTAAGAAGCGCCTGGGGGCGGATCGCACCCCCCAAAAAAAGCCGATGTGCTTCCGCGACAATGCTAAGGGGTGCAAGAATGGCAGCAAATGCCACTTCGAGCACGTCTGCTCGCTATGCTTCCAAAAGCACCCCGCTACGCAGTGCCCCACCAGGAAGCAGAACGAGGCCGCTAAGGAGGAGAAGCCCTCCAACTGACCCGCTACTCCAGAGGCGCCCTCAGTGCCTGTGCTAGACGAGCCTTTGGTTCCTGAGCTGCCCGCTGCAGCCGCTACGCAGACCAAGCCGCTACGGGTGCTCTACCTTTTCTCGGGGGCTTCCCGACGGCTAGACGTGGCGCAATGCCTGCACCAACTAGCAACAGAACTTGGGCTAGATGTGCGGGTCGAATGTGTCGACCTCGTGCGTCACGCTAAATACGACCTCAGTCTGCCCAAGATACGGCAGAGCTACCTGGGTCGCGTTGCTAACAAGGAGTTTGACGCCGTGCTGCTATCACCGCCCTGCGCTAGCTTCTCCAGAGCGCCGTGGGCTAACTTCAAGGGGCCGCGCCCCGTGCGCAGCTATGAATACCCCCGCGGACTGGAGACGCTAACCCCAGCTGAAAGAGACCGTGCTATTTTGGGCGACATTTTCGCCGACTTCAGCCAGGTCGCTACCTTGGTCGCGGATGGAGCCGCTAAGTTTCTGGCTATGGAGCGAACACTCGGCTAGCTACTTCCAAGAGCTAGGAGTGAGGAAGAGAACTGGAGAGCCTAAGGCTCCGAGGTTCGCTAAGAAGGCCCGTAAGCTAGGTCCCTGGTAGCCCTACGGCTGCGCGAGGGGATTAGCTAGCCGAAGGCTAGAGTTCTTCTCCGGGCTAACGCGGGACTTCGCCACAACGCTAAAAAGAGAGAAGTTCGTGTTGTCCGTGCTACTGTGTGAAGCCAGTTAGCTAAAGCTAGGCTTGCTACGTACTCCCCGGAGGTGTTGAGGGAGGTGGCGGGAGGATACGCTAGCTAGTGTACGCACTCGTGCCGAGGGACGAGGTACGACCGTGTATGCTAGCGCTAGTATCCTTGTGTGAAACATCGAAGGTGTTTCGCTAGAAAACGTCGAAGGGGTTTTCCTCTGAAGCTAAACAGAACGAAGCCCGTCTGTTTGCTAGAGTGTCTGCACATGGCCGGTGGAACATGAGCTATTCCGTGGCCATTGTGCTGAAAGGCCCCCTGCTACTGGGGGGCAATTTTCGAGTGCCCACCCAACCCACCCTGGAGATTAGCTAGCCGAAGGCTTGAGTTCTTCTCCGGGCTAACGCGGGACTTCGCCACAACGCTAAAAAGAAAGAAGTTCGTGTTGTCCGTGCTACTGTGTGAAGCCAGTTAGCTAAAGCTAGGCTTGCTGCGTACTCCCCGGAGGTGTTGAGGGAGGTGGCGGGAGGATACGCTAGCTAGTGTACACACAGACACACAAACAGACAGACAGACACACACACACACACACACAGAGATACACACACACACACAAACACGCGCACATTGGCATTTCCTGACGGTGCTTACATGCAGCCAAATATGCTGTAGTAACCAAAACAAGGAGTCTCCTGTATTTCCACCATTGCTTTACATTTTCACGATCGACAATGTCGAAGGCGACGTGCACATGATGTGGCGCAAGACCAGTTGAAGATCACTGACACCCACCGCAACTGTCTGCATAGTGGCACAAGAAGTTGCCGGCATGCGCGAAACGGCCCGTCAGCAAGTGGTCCGGATTCCGACCAAGCCTGCACAATCCTCCAGAGACTCGTTGGGCCTAAGAAGCACACGACACGTCAAGCTAAGACTCGAAGGATGTTTTTTAAGGTTGGTGCATGCTTGCTTTGTGACTCAGTTTGAATGTGCCAAAGTTCCAGCAAGCGGTTACGGTGGCTGGATTCGACCCGAAGCCGGGCTCTGCCCACCACGCTGCACAGCAGCTTCTTTTCTCTACAAGGAGGGTGTTGTAGCCAAGTCCAAAGCAAAGATGCAGACATGAAGCTCAAAAGTCTGCTTGTCTTTTCAGATGCCATCTGCTTTGCTTCTTTGTGACTCATGTTGGTTGGCTTGTGCAGCTTCAGCATGTTTCAGCGAGAGCATGCTACTAGTATGACCATCGACTCCCACATCTGGACAAGCAAGGATGGATATGTTGAAGATGTTGGTGAAGGCCAGCTTCCGAGTGACGGAATTCGAGGTTCAATGTCGACGAACCAGCCCGTTCGGGAGGTCCTTTTCATCGTGCATTGGTTGGCTTGCTTGACGTGCAGAACTCAGCCGCAACCCACCTTCTGCGACTGAGTCTTACATGGCTCAGTTTCTTCTTTCCGAGGTTCCTCGTCGCATCCCCTGTCTGCGCGGACGGCACACCGATGCCTTGCCCACCGCCAGAGGGCCCGAACGACGACACCAGGCAGTGAGATGGACAGCTTGCCAAAGAATGCCGTTGAGCAGCTATTGGGCTGCAGGTTCTGGTCAAATTGGGTGCGAATGTTCCAAGTGGACAAATTTGACCTCGCGTGCGGTCCTCAAAAGGTGACACTCAAGGGCTGACCACTCGCCTTCTCCAGCGAGTGGTTCCGTCCCCTCAACATGCCGCATGTCAATACAAGATTGTCTGAATGAAGGGTAAAGTGCGGAATTTCCTGCTGCGTCACTGGACTGTGCTCCAGCATGTGTGATGTCACTGCTCTGTGTACAGTCGACATTCCGACGGCTTTTTTTGACTTGCCCGAGGGCCCGCTACTTGAGCACCTTTCACTTCATCACGGCCACACTCATGGCCTGAAGCCTATAGCCAGCTGTAGATGCACACAGATCTTCCATTGCTTCCATTCGTGATCTTGAAGGCTGTTGGATATGGAGACATATTTCCCGCCAACTCCTTCGAGCGCATCGTGTGCCTTGCAATGTGGCTCCGAGAGGCCAGGGCTGGGAAGTCCCATGTTTTTCGTTTCGAAGGTGCATTGTGTCTCAGATCACGGGTGCAGTGCTCTTCGGCCGCGGACCCAGAGCAGCAGCGCAGCATGTCGTCATCTCTGCATGACCTTCCTTGGTGCTTCAGCCGCAAGGCTTTCTCCTCTCCTGCATCACCGCAGTCCTGGAGTTCACACACCCGCGGGAGCTGGAGCACAAGAAGCGGATGTCCGAGATCAAGGCCAGGATGTCTGCAACAAAAATCACCACTGGTCAGCTTTCTCCTCTTGCAGAACTGGCTTCGGAATCGAAGCTTGCCGCAGCCTTTGAAGACGCAGGCAGGCAGGGGGCCATTGGAGCTTTGCCTGAGAGAGTTGGATCCTTATGTCAAATCCATCCCAATTCCGGGCACGACGAATCCGATCAGTTCCTTGAAAGCCGTCTCAAGAAGAGGGCCATGCGAGCCTTGGTGTAACTGGTTTGCTGGCTAGGGTGCATGCAGGGGGGGGGGCACGAGTTTCTTTCTTTGTGAAGTCTCACAGCTGGGGTCTCGTCCATGGTCCTTCTCAAGTTTGCTTTGCGACAGCACAGTATCAAGTTTTCCCCCCAACATGTATCGCGGTTCCATCAAAGCAGAAACACTACTGATGAAGGGTCCAAGAAGGCTCGTGCATGCGCTTTTCAAGTTCTTTGTCGTTGTGGGCATTCCGGCAGTGTGGGTATGGGAGCAGCTGAACTACTGCCTTCCTTCCGTTCTTTGACGTGGATGCACGCACGGCTGAGCCACGCTGCACTTGTCGGGTTGTGAGTATGTTTTTGCACCGGCTGAAGTACGCTTTTCGCAGCTCCGCCGGCAGTCTTTTGCCCGGCGCCATCTGGCAACTAATGCAGCGTGTATCGTTGCTCTCAAACCTGATCGCATGTCAGGTATGGTCGCACTTTTGCTACGTCACTGCTCAGCGGTCAGCCTTCAAGGCAAGGCCTTCCGGTGCGATGGTTACAGCGATCTCGTCTTCGCACGAGGATGAGCACACGATGCTTCTGTCCCTGCCGGCGCACCTGCGCAGCCAGCTGGCCGGAAGCCCGAAGGGCGGCGCGTGGCCGTGCATGCCCGTCGACCACTAGCAGCGGAGTGTCCCATGAGGTTGAATCTTCGCAAAAGACATACTTCCAGGCCATTCAGGCAGCGACGGTGACGGGTTTGATAAGGAGGCAGAAGTGACAAGTGCACGACGGGGCTTTGCAACGGGTGGAACCGCTGAGTTTTTGTACCCTGGAGCTTCATAAACAGAGATCGCCTCGACCGCATCGAGCCCACAAGGGCAAAGCAAGAAGGTGACTCCCTGTGCTAGTAGATTCTAGTCTACCGTGCCCCATGTACAGTCTTGACGATCTCACAATGGCTGTAGTTACACGGATATGTGTTCTGACGCATGGGATCAATTCCCTAGAGTACACTGAACAAGAACGTGCTCAGGGTTGACTGAACGGTAATAGCCCCCGGTATCCGGCTAGGCCCGGAACTTCAGGTTATCAGCCATAGCATCCGTAGCTACGCTGTGGCTAGCTGACACTGGCTCGTGACCTAGTTTCCGATTCTGCATATCCGTTTATCTGGTGATCTCTTGGTGGTCTCTTGATGCTTTCTGTTGCTGGTCGCTTGCCGGTCTCCTGGTGGTCTCCTTGTAGTCCCATCGTTGTCGTCCTGGTGTTCTCTGTGTATGGTGCTCCCATTGGGTGGTCTTCTGATGATCTCGTGGTCTTCTCTGCCGGCGGTCTTTGTTTCTCTGCTCACGTCGTGGTGGTCTGTTGGTGGTCGCCTGGGGTCGAGGTGATCTCTCGATGGTCTTCTGGTGGTCTCGTTGGAGTCTGTCCCTGCTCATCTGGTGGCCTCCTGCTGCTGTTCTCTTCGTGGTCTCTCGGTGGTCTCCTGTTGTCTTGGTGGTCTCTCAGTCGCCTCTTGCTGGTTTGTCCTGAGGTTCTCTCTATGGCAGTACTCGTCGTTGGTGGTCTTCTTATGTGTTGCCTGGATGGCTTTCTGGTGGCCTGTTGGTGGTTGCAAATGTGGTACGCGGACTGAACAGCCAAAGCCCCAGTAGTCTTCCGTCTCAAGGCTTCCCTGGGAAGTTTCGAGAAGGGGCTGGTGGCCGAGCTGGCTGTGCAGGTGATGCCCATGCAGGCCGACTTCACCGCTTCTGACCGCTTCTGCCTGTCTGCCTGTCTGCATGTGCCTGAATTCGGAGCTCCCTGACTTCCAAACAGCAGGTGCCATACCACATGTGCATCCTGGAGGTGCAGTGCAGCATCAGGTTTACTTCCTACTTCCTTTCCGCAAGCCTGACCTGCTGCAGACGGGGGAACTTACCACCGAGCTCTACGTGGTAGCGACCGGCCGGGTGGAGGCGGTTCTTGTGGAGGCGCATTGTGTGATTGTGGTGGCGGCTCACCCTAGGGCCTAGGGCGAAGAGTCGAGTTGCCGCACGCTGTTTTTATGAGGAGCGCCACAATGAGAACCCGGAGCAGCTGGAGGCCTCGGGCCTCGCTTAGAGGGGGTGGACTTCGGACTTGGCAGAACACGTCTCTTTGCATTCTTTCTTGCAGGCCTTCCTCAAGCTTTGTTTGGCCAGCAGTGATCCGCGGAGGCCAGAGGTACAAGGGTCAGAACAGCCCGAAGCTCGATTGATCATCTTCGCATCTGAGGAACGGTGGCGGCGTGGCCCGTGAGGCACGCAAATGGGTGTGAGAGATTCCAGCCGAGCTGCGTTGGCAGGGAACTGCAGTGCTTGGACGTTGGACACCAGAAGCTGAGCCCCTTTTCGCAGGACCTCTTCGACGAACCGTCCGGAAATAGCTTGCCGGATGCTTCTGCAGATGGAGAAGAGGCGGGCGGGTTTGGGGCTTGCAGATGTTTGGATGTTTGCCAAAGTTCGGGCTAAGAGCCCTGCCGGAGGCATCAAGCTATTGAATCTATTGCTAGATCTGCGAGGCACGGCCACGTGCTGAGCGAACGCGCCGGAGGCAAGCCACCCCCACAAGGCAGGAGGGTAAATTTTGACGAGCAGGCCTGAACACGTAAGGAACCTTCACATCCTTCACAAGAAAATAAAGCATGGCAGATTCAAGAAGATGTTGCAAACAGCTGACTGCTGACTCTGCAACTGTCTACCCAAGACCCGAGTCCGCAATTCTTGGCCGATGCTGGTAGCGTGTGCTTCAATTCCAAGATTCCAAAATGTTTCCTTCGTGAGCGTGTCTCGTCTCTCTGCTCAGGGGATTGATCCAGCGGGCGAGGTCCTTCCTCACCGAGGAGTGCCGAGGGAGAGAGCGCCGAGGGAGTTCCGAGAAAAGGCGCAGCCCCGCCGGGTCCCGGCCTGGGGCTGGAGCCTCGCGTTGGGGCCTGGCGGGAGCGCTTCCCTTCCCCCCTTCCCCCCCCAAAGCTTTGAAGTTGAAGAGCGCTTTTTGCTGTGACGCCGCGGTTGCGGCGCGCAGGGCGTGGGCTTTGCAGCGCCAGCGGCCTCCGAGGACACGTGGCGCGCGCTCGCGTCGCGTCGCGTCGGAGAGGGGGTGGTCAGGACATCATCCAAATTCTCTGCGGCATCTATGGGGAGTTGGAGGCAGGACCTGAGGCCTTGAGGCAAGGTACAGCCCTGGCTCTCTCCAGACAGTAACCAAATCGACTTGTGGATCTACTCGATCGATTCTCGCGAACTTGATCATGTACCGTTGCTATTTTGGCATAAGCTTCGAAAGCTTGAGCTTTGTTTCAGTTCCCCTCGTATCACTCCTCGGGCCATAGACCGCCCCTGGCGGCCAGTACTCCGAGCACTACGACCAGACAGTCTGAAGGAGTCTCTCACCGAGTTCGGTCGAGAGCAAGTGCTCGAAGATTTCCAAGTCGACTAGCCTGAGGACTTGAGTTGGGGAGCCTGGCAGAAACGGCAATCTCGCCAGAAGCAGAAGGTGGTCAGCCAGGTCACTTCGTGCCGGACTGGCGACGACATAGTGAACCTCGCCGCCACCATCCTGTAGCCGCCGAACCTCGAGGCTTTCCTTTACCTCCACGTCTCCGACCGGGACGCGACTGCTGAGCCTCTGACCGTACCTTTCGAGATTGTCGTTTCTTCTGTTAACCCTGTCACCGATCATGCACCTTCGCCCCCCGACATCGAAGATGCACTTTTCGCACACGAGATTGACTTACATAATCAACACTTGGAAGACATGTTTCGCGATGAGTTCGGGATCGTTAAACCCAGACCCGAGCGGCAGAGGGGTCAAAAACAAATTCAAAAGGGGTCAAAAAGACTAGGAAGGATCAAAAAAATTTGGAAAGAATCAAAAACAAACTTAGTGTTTACGAGGTAATGTGCCTGTTTCCTCGCTTGGCAGCCTTCGGCTTCTGGGCTCCTGGCTTCTGTGCTGCCTGGCTCCGCGGCTTTTTTGGCTTCTTGGGTTCCTGGCTTCTTGGCTTCCGGGCGGCTTGGCTTCTTGGCTTCCGGGCGGCTTGGCTTCTTGGCTTCTAGGCTTCCTTGCCGGCTTCTTAGCTTCTTGGCTTCTCGGGTTCTTGGCTTCTTGGCTTTGGGCAGCTTGGCTTCTCGAGTTCTTGGCTTCTGGGCTTCTTCGCTTCTTGGCTTCTGGGCTTCCAGATAACATGCGTACGATGACTGGGCCTTGTCGGCTTCCTCGCTTTTTGGCCTCGCAAACTCACTCGCGGCTTCTCGACACGGACCAGCGAAGCTTCGCTGCGCGCCTTTGGGCAAGATGACGCTGTCCGTTTGTTTTCGTGGCATGTCTACCGTGGCACAAGACTTGGACCAGGATGGAGATTGTCTAACTGACGGATCAAAAAAAGGATCGACAAGAAAATGTAAAGGCATTAAAGAAGAACATATGAAGGGATCAGTTAAAAAACTAAAAGCAATCAAAAGACAAATGCATCTTTACTCAAGGGGTACAGTGGGTACAAATGTGTGTATATATATAAGTGTACATGTATGTATGTATATATATATATATAATTCGACGGGGCCCTGGCGAGTTCCGAATAACCTGCGCACGCAGCCATGGCCGGCAACTGTTAACGTCGACGCCCTCCACGCTGTGCCAGGCTTTTGTGGCCTTTTGTGGCATTGACACCATATATATATATAGCGTCGCAAAATTCCGACGCTGAACTATTGGAATCTCATCCTGGCAAGTAGAGCTGCTTGACCCACGCAGCCATGGCCAGCAACTCTGGTTACACCAACCGTTCGAACCCTCTACGCGGTCCCAGACTTTTCCGGGATTGACACCGTAGTTTCGCACAGTTTCGACGCGGAGATATTGGAATAGCACTTGCCGTTGTTTGCAGCAAATCTCCAATCCCTAGTTTTTTTTGATCCTTCCTAATTTTTTGATCCGTTCAACCTAAATTTGTTTCTGGATCCCTTTAAAATTTTTTTGATCCTCCACCCGACCCAAGCCCGCTGCCTCCACAGCTCGAAAACGCACCTTTGAGGGGAAACTGTTACCCCCTACTTCGACTGTCATCGATTTGGACTAGGAGCCCCGAAGCCATGGCACATCGACGTGATAGCTCCTGGTTTAACTTCCTCTGCGAGGGTAGCACTACGAATTTGGTCGCGCCTGTTCCGAACTCGATGTTGAAGGACTACCCCGAGGTGGTCGAGTCTGACGCGAAGGTGCCGCTGTCGGGGATTCGGCGAGCGGTCTGCCCTCGACTCTTGGAATCCAAGAACTGCAACACACCGAACTGTTCTTGCTTGCATCCCGATTTCCTGAGCGAGGTCTGGGTGGTCCCCGATCTCATCTGCCATAAGTGGTTCCAAGGCTGTTGCACCTATCACAGCCGCGGCTGGAATCAACATGGCCTTCGACGCGGCCATGGGTCAGGCACTTCGACTACAGCAACAACTTCGAGGGTCCGAGCCCCCGCACCAATTCAACGCCGAGGGCGGCTACATTCAACAAGTGAGTCGCGAACAAGCTCGAGCCTGGATCATGAAGTCCATGGCGACCTTCCGACGCACACAGATCCGGAAGTGGAACTTCGGAACCATCTTCACCAAATACCACGACTATACGAGGCCTGGGACCGGTCTGAGCAGGCTGCCACACTTCCTGAAGAACTCGCAGCTGACCCGACGTCGAGGGGGAGGTCGCGGCGCCGGGGGCGACATTGTTCACATGCCTTCTACTCTCCGACATGACGGCCTCTTTCCTCCCACGGAATCCAGCTTTCCGCCGACTTCTTCGACAGCTCCGGCCACTTCGAGTGCACCGAGTGCTTCGATACCCCGACGGCCTTTCTTCCAGGCGAACACATCGACACTGACTCAGATGCTGCGAGGTTCGGGGAGGCACCCGGCCGGCTTTCCGCCTCACCGATGGAGCGGGTCGGGCGTCCGGCACGACAACCGCCGGCGGACCCTCCGAAGGCAGTGGCTCGAGAACCTTTGCCGGCTAGGTGATCACCGAGATCGTTGACGTCCGGCCACCATAACGACGGCACCGAAACTCGACCACCACCGAAAGCTCGGCCACAGCTCGATCCCACGCTTCATGGCACGATTCGGATGAAGAGCACCAGTTACCGGGCCTCCTTGGACTCCTTCCACGACAGCCAACCCTACAGCGAGCCAGCCGGTGACTACACCGACAGCCTTTGACCCACGAGCACACACAGGCGTATGGGACAACGAGTGGATCAATCCGGATTTCCGGGAAGCAACTCGATCGACCGGAACATCGAGGTTGGGATCTGGTCATACGCCGAGGTTCTCAGTGTATCCGCGGTCAACTTCGATCACTCCCATCCGAGGCAGACGTTACCTCAGGCATCCGGTGTTGGGGCTCCGTCTTCGCTGACTACGACGACTTCGAGGGATGCCAATCAAAATTTTTTTTTCAATCAACAAAAATTCTTTCAATCAAAAAAACTGTTTTCCAATCAAAAAAAACTTTCCCTTATTAAGGGAAGCACGACAGGAAGGAAGGAAGGAAGGAAGGAGGGAAGGCAGGAAGAAAGGCAGCAAGGAAGAAAGGCAGCAAGGAAGGATGGCAGGAGCGAAGGCAGGAAGGAAGGAAGGAAGGAAGGCGGGGAGAAAGGGCGAGGAAGGAAGGAAGGAAGGAAGGAAGGCAGGAAGCAAGGAAGGAAGCAAGGCAGCAAGGAAGGAAGGCAGGCAGGCAGACAGGAAGGAAGGAAGAAAGGAAGGAATGAAGGCAGGAAGCAAGGAAGGAAGCAAGGCAGCAAGGAAGGAAGGCAGGCAGGCAGGCAGACAGGAAGGAAGGCAGGAAGGAGGGGGCCCTATTTTTTTTTGACTTTTTTCTTTGCCCTTTTTTTTCTCTCCCCCTTGTGGGCCTCGGTTAAAGGCGTTCACTGCAGAGCTGGCACCTGGCCCTACGCTTCGCCATGATTTAACTATACTATTAGTACAACAACAACAACAACTACTACTACTACCACTACCACTACCACTACCACTGCCACTACCACTACCACTACCACTACTACTACTACTACTACTACTACTACTGCTGCTGCTGCTACTACTACTACTACTACTACTACTACACATGGAGAAAGGTTTTTTTTGATTGGAAAAAAGTTTTTTTGATTGGTGAAAAAGTTTTTTTATTTTCGCTGAAAGTTTTTTTGATTGAAAACAAATTTTTTTGATGGGTTTCCCACTGACTTCGAGGGGCCGCCCATACTCTAGTGTACCTCGAGCCGTCCAGCCACAGACGCCCCCGCAGGGTCATGTGGCCGGACTCGCAAGTCGTCGAGAAGGGCCGAACTTCCCTCGACGACATCAGGAGCAATCCGACGTCACCCGATTCTCCGTTCTTTGGCTTCCAAACTCTGAGGCACTGGCAATTTCCCGGTCCCGGCTCCGAATCTACAGGCCATGACGGTGGGGGGACACAACGTGGCGATGCCCCCCCCAGGAAATCATCCCTAGCCTACTCTTCGTTTTCCTTCGATTTTTTTTTTGAGATTACTTACGACGGGATTGTGTACATCGTGCAAGTTTTGCGGTGCCCCACGCATGGCAGCCACCTCACGCACTTCGGGCTCTACATCGACTTACCGGTCCACACGCCACAGCGAGATGTCCGGCGTGGGCGAGTTCTGCTCCTTGGCGTGCCAAACAACTTCACTGACCCGAGGGCTGCGTTGACATACTCGAAAATCCGGCGCAATGTGGCGGCCTCCTTCATCGCACGAGTGTGGATGAGCGCCTCCGCCGACTCCGACTTTGATGCGTACGGGCGCATGATCTCAACGGGTTCGCGGGCCACGTCCCGTACTTCGAGCCCATGACGGCACTATTCCGGGAGCAGGCTTCAGCGATCTTGGCTTGTGTCTCGAACATGATGTCTCCTTCGATGCGAACGACCTTCTGTCAGCACGAGGACGCTCAAGAGCTGAAGAACCCTTGTGTACAACGCGATCACCCCGAAGTTTCGGGCTTTTCTCCTGATGCCGTTTCCACCTCGGCGATGTACGGCATAAGGATTTGGGTCACGACCCGTCGGAGTCACGGGACTTCCGCCTCGGCGATGTGTCCCTGGGGTCTCCCGTACTTCTTTTGAAACACCTCGATGTGAC